GCCACCATGCCTAATTGAATATGACTATGTGTGAAGGACCAGCTCTTGACACTGAGTTTTTGGTCATTTCCAAGTTTTTTTTTTTTGGGGGGGGGGGGGCTGGGGCTTGAACTCAGGGCCTGGGTGCTGTCCCTGAGCCTCTTTGTACTCTAGGCTAGTGCACCACTTCCAGCTTTTTTAAGTAGTTTATTGGAGATAAGATTTTCATGGGGACTTTGTTGTTGTTGGTTGTGGGGCTTGAACTCTGTGCCTAGGTGCTGTCCCTGAGCTCTTCAGCTAAGGCAAGTACTCTACCACTTGAGCCCCACAGCACCACTTCCTATTTTCTGGTGGCTCATTGGAGATAAGAGTCTCATGGACTTTTCCTGCGTGGGCTGGCTTTGTACCGCCATCCTCAGATCTCAGCCTCCTGAATAGCTAGAATTACAGGCGTGAGCTACAGGTGCCCATCTCTCATGGGGACTTTTCTACCTGGGCTGCCTTTGAACTGCGATCCTCAGATCTCAGTCACCTAAGTAGCTAGGATTACAGACATGTGCCACATGCGCCCAGCTCCAGGCTTCTTATCCTGACAGTGAGCCCACACTTCTCAGCTATCATCCTCTGTCTTCTCCTACTTGGAACTGCCTTTTCTCAACAGGTGATTTCCTATGACTGGCAAGCTTCCTCAGAAAATGATCAGCATGTGATATGGAACAGTTTTCCCAGCTCAGGAAGGCTCTGTGCCTTCAAAGGTACACACTGCAGCTTGTTTGCATACACCAAAAATTTTTTAAATCTGGTATCTTTAAACTTGGCTCTGTAAGGGCTGGAGTGGCTCTGTGGCACAGTGTTTGCTGGTGTGTACAAGGCCCAGAGTTGCCAGCATAAGAATATGTAAAAATAGCCCCGGGTAGAGCACCCGTAGGAATAAACATGCTGTTCCTACCAGGACAGCGCTAGGCCTGGCTTGCTTGGTGATGCACCAGAAACTGGAACAGTAAGCGCTTAGCCGTCATCTGCATTGGTTGAATATCAGAAATGTGGTGTTAGCCGGGTACTGGTGACTCATGCCTGTCATCCTAGCTACTCAGGAAGCTGAGAACTAAGGATTGCAGGTCACATCCAGCCTAGGTAGTAAAGTTTGTAACTATTTCCCCCCCTTCCCCCCCCCTTCCGATCCTGGGACTTGAACTCTGAGATTCATGGACTTTCCTGCCTGGGCTGGCTTTGAACCTTGATCTTAAGCAAGCTTCTAGCCTCTTGAGTAGCTAGGATTACAGGCATGAGCTCTGTGAGATGTTATATTCAGTTAACCAGAAAACTAGAAATGGTGCTGTGGCTTAAAGTGGTAGAGCACTAGCCTTGAGCAAAAGAGCTCAGGGACAGCGCCCAGGCCCTGAGTTTAAGCCCTGTGACTGAACAAAATAAGGAAAAGAAAAGAAATTTGGAGTCATCAGAGTCAGCATGATACCCCGAAGTGCTCAGCCTGTGATGTGAGGGGGTGGAGTTGAAGGTACGTGGGCATTGCCAGTTTCCACAAAAATCCTGCTAACAGCCATTTTCATTCATGGAGGGACATCTTGGATGCGCTTGAGTTTTATTGGGTTACTGTGGGTAGTATGACTCATTACTAAGCTGTAAGAGCCAAATTCACTGAGTTTTCACTTTAAACTGTTCACAGTTCTAAAGCACACCAGGTCCAAGTCACCTTTTCAATTCTCACAGGATCTAAAGTAGGACTGCTTGCAGTGAACATTTCTTATGGTTTGGCAGTTTTCCAGAAACTCAGCAGTCACATCAGTAAGGTGCAAGGCTTGTCTGCCAGGTACAGTGAACTACAAGCAGGCTTGGGGAGGGGAAGGGCACACGCTCTAAGACATTATGTAACGTTGCCTTTGTGCCAGGTATGTTAGTCTGTTGGTGCTGGTAAGAAGCTAGTTTTGTGTGTGTGTGCGCACATGTGTGCATGCATGTGTGTGCACACAAACACACACGCTCCAGAGGCTTGACCTCAGGGCCTGGGTGCTGTCCCTGAGCTTTTGTGCTCTTGGCTAGTGTTCTGTCACTTGAGCTACACATCCATTTCTGGTATTTTGGGTGGATATTTGGACACATAAGTCTCAGGTTTTGTGTTTTTTGTTTTGCCAGTCCTGGGGCCTGGGCACTGTCCCTGAGCTTCTCTTGAGCCATAGCACCACTTCCAGCTTTTTCTATGTATGTGGTACTGAGTCATGGAATCCAGGGCTTCATGCCTGCTAGGCAAGCACTCTACCACTAAGCCACATTCCCAACCATAAGTCTCAAGTTTGTCTGCCCAGGCTGGTTTTGAACCACCATCTTCAGATCTCATCCTCCTGAGTAGCTAGGATTATAGGCATGAGCCATTGGCACCAGGCTTCCTTATTTTTTTTAGTGGTACCATGAGGCTAATTCTTACAATTCCAACAGGTTCCATTCTCAGATTTTCATATATACATACCATCTACCTTGACCCTATCCCTCCTCATTCATCCTCCTGGTTGGAGCTAATGGGTTTTTTGTTTTTGTTGTTTTTGCTAGTACTGGCTTGAACTCAGGGCTTTTTTTGTTCAAAGTAGCTCTCTACCACTTGAGCCACAACCCTGATTTCAACTTTTTTTGGTATTCATTGGAGATAAGAGTCTTATTTTTGCCAGGTGCTGGTGGCTCATGCCTGTAATCCTAGCTACTCAGGAGGCTAAGATCTGAGGATCGCGGTTCAAAGCCAGCCAGAGCAGGAAAGTCCATGAAACTCTTATCTCCAATAAACCACCAGAAAACTGGAAGTGGACTATAGCTCAAGTGGTAGAGTGCTAGCCTTGAGCTGTAGAGCTGAGGGACAGCGCTCAGGCCCAGAGTTCAAGCCCCATAACCGATAAAAAAAAAAAAAGTCTTATTTTCCTGCCGGGGCTGGCTTCAAACTGATCCTCAGATCTTAGCCTCTTAGGTAGGATTACAGGCACAAGCTACTGGTGCCTGGCTATAGCTCTTCCCCCCTCCCCCCCAACCTCCCCCGGTTGTGGGGCTTGAACTCTGGGCCTGGGTGCTGTCCCTCAGCTCTTCAGCTCAAGATGAGTGCTTTACCACTTGAGCCACAGCACCACTTCTGGTTTTCTGGTGGTTAATTATAGCTATAGTCCACTTCCAGTTTTCTGGTGGTTTACTGGAGATAAGAGTCTCACGGACTTTCCTGCCTGGGCTGGCTTTGAACTGCAATCCTCAGATTTCAGCCTCCTAAGTAGCTAGGATTACAGGCGAGAGCCACCAGAGCCGGCCCTTTCTTAAAGAAGCAAAGAGCTGAGACTCTTGTCTCCCTCAAGTGGAGGCTGCTCTGTGCCAGCAAGCACAGAAGTATTGGCATTTTCTCTGGATACTTTCTACATCCAACTGCAGAATAAAAGTCATACTGATAGAACAATTGAAGGGCTGGGATGTAGCTCAGAGGCAAAGTGCTTGCCTAGCAAGTGCAACGTCCTGGGTTCGATCCCCAGTACCAAAAAAGAAAAGACAAAAAAAATACAGTTAAAAAAAAAAAACCCAAACAGAAGAACAATTGAAAGTCAGGAAAGAACTTTACAGTAACTTCAAAGGTAGTTATATTTTATTCTTGATCCTTTTTCCCAATTCCAGGGTTATTTTAAAATCTCAAAACAACGAATTAAAAAGTCATGTCATCATGTGAGGAAAAATGGGCTAAGTTTTTGCCAATTCTGAAAGCAGCAAAACCTGAGTGCTCCCAGCAAGTATGGCAGATACTGAGTGTATGCTGCGCCCGGCACCTGCGCAGAAGGCACACGTCCCTGCAGTGCTGGGCAGGGAACCCTGTCGCCTTCCACATCACCTCTGGAGACCTGCCTGCTACATATCGAAGAAGTATGATGTGCTTTGTTCTGCACCGAAAACTTAATACTCTTGAGCAGTGTTCTCTAGATTCCGCCATTGTATGGGACAATGGCCTTCTTCCTTCAGGCCGCCAGTGGTGCAACTCAAGCTTCCTCGTGGGCGGCCCCAACCCTGCTAAAGATTAGATGTCACTCACGTTCTGGTCACTGTCCTTTGCTACTGCCAGACTATGGGAAGAGTGATTGGTGTGTTCTTGTTGATTGGAAGAAACTGCTCCAAAGAACATGGAAGAAAACCAGGGGGAGAAAGAACTGCGCTGTTTGTTCTGAAGTGAAAGTTCGCTCAGGAAGGAATGGGGTGTAGGTGACACCTGGCTGTAGGTGGTGGGTGGGAGACATCCAGATGTTCTGCCTCACCAGAAATCGGCAAAGTGAGCACGGACTGAATACATAAGACTCCAAAGGAAGGAGAAGCGAGTGCTCAGAGTACTGTGGTCTGCCGCTCTGGCGGCCAGCTCCGCGGCAGTGTAGACAAATCCAGTCTGCAGAATAAAACGTCAGCCAAGGGCATGTGATAGAAATAGCCACATGACAAGCGAATGGTAGAGAAGAGCAGTCTTAAAGTGGAGGTTCACCTAATAGACAGCGGCACGTAACACAAATCAGCTCTTGGCATGTGGTGGCATGATGATGACAGCACCGTGGATGCTAAGTCATTAGGCAGAGAAGTGGGGCAAAGGGGGCACATTGAGGCCTGAAACAAGTCCCTTCTGCGGGGAAAGCTGGCAGCCACATCACCAGTCAACACCAGCACGTTTTGTTCTCATCCCAAACGCTCGGTCAAGACCTAACCGTGAGGAAACATCAGAAAAGCCCAAATTCAGATACCATGGCACAATAGAGGGAGGGAGAGGACTCGGAAAACAAATGACCCAGGTTTGAGGAGATGCAGCAGGTCTACGATGCGGACCAGTGGGCAAGCTGGGTGATGGTGTGTGAGATTTGCTTGTGCTATTGACAAGTAAGTCTAAATTTATCTTAGGGTTGGGGTGGGGTGTGCAGGTCTGTGGTGGACACAAAGGTCCTGGGTTCCATCCCCAGTACTGAAAAAAATGTATGTGCGAATGTCCATGTGGAAGAGTTAACCATAGAGGAATTTGTGAAGTAATTGTTCATCTCTTACTATTTGTGTTTTCTGACTTTTCTTCACTGAAATAACTATTTTTGTGTGTAAATGTGGCCCTGGGGTGGGTACCCAGGGTCTTGTGCATGGCAGGCAAATGTTATACCATAGAGCCACATCCCCCCCCATACCCCCAGGAAATAATCATGTGTTCTTTGTTGTTGTTGGCCATGGGTCTTGAACTCTGGGCCTGGCCACTGTCCTTCAGCTCTTCAGCTCAAGGTGAGCGTTCTACCACTTAAGCCACAGCGCCACTTCTGGTTTTCTGGTGGTTTACTGGAGATAAGAGTCTCATGGACTTTCCTGTGGCACTGTGGCTCAAGTAGCAGAGTGCTACCCTTGAGCAAACGAAGCTCAAGGACAGTGCCCAAGCCCAGAGTTCAAGCCCCAGGACTGGCCAAGAAACAAAACAGCAAAAACCAGTGCTGGAGGTGTGGCTTAGCAGGTTAATGCTGGCCTAACAAGTAGAAGGACTGGGAACTCAAAAAGGGGCTGTCAGTGGTAGACACATGCTTAATTGCTAGAGGCTCTGGCTCCAGTCCTCATGGCCAAGAAAAACAAACAAATGAGTGGTCAGGACACTGGGGTGATGGGGGTGGAAAACGCTCCACCCTGATGGGTCATGTCAGTATTTCTCTTACCTTCCTGAACACTGGGCTGGATTCTCTGTCTGGGTGCTCCCCACTGGGTGCTCTCTTCTTCAGAGGACGGCTGTGGTTTTCCTGGGCACCACTCTCTGGGGGAGACTCAGCGGGACACAGCCTTTTCCGTGAAATTTTCCTTGAGATGCTCTCTGCAGCCTGGCTGCTTCTTCTCTGACCCAGGGTCAGCCTTGCCCGTGCTGGACTGGACCTGAGGGTCGGGTGAGAGAGTGGCTATTACTACCGGTGGAGACACGCGACATCCTAATTTAGGAAATGCATCCAAACAACAGAGTTACTTGTTGAAAATTAAAATTCATGTCTGTGATTATTTTTGAATCTTTCAATAAAATAACCCAGTTATAGGAGATAGTGTATAATGCGGTAACAGGACTGAATAAGAAAAAAATAAACCATTAGCCATGTATATGATATAATTTTTGAGGTAATGAAAACCCATGTTTCTGAGTCATAATGGATAATACAAACATGTCCATAATGTACTTTGTGGGAGGAAAAAGGATACAAAAGACATATGATGTTGTTTAAAACATAAATATACAGGACTGAAGGTTTAACTCAGTGATAGAGGAATTGGCTAGCATGTGCAAGGCCCTAGCTTCCATCCGCAGCACTGCAACACACACACACACACACACACACACACACGTCATGAGTATGCATAGGTATGTGTATATGCAAAACAAAGTCTTGAAAGAAAATTCAGTGAGGGGCTGGGAAGGTGGCTCAGTGGTAGAGCGCTTGCCATGCATGCTCGAGGCCCTGGGTTCGATTCCTCAGCACCACATAAGAAAAAAGCCAGAAGTGGTACTGTGGCTCAAGTGGTAGAGTGCTAGCCTTGAGCTGAAGAGCTGAGGGACAGCGCCCAGGCCCAGAGTTCAGGCCCCAAGACCGGACCCAAAAAAAAAAAAAAAAAAGAAAATTCAGCCAAAATGTTAATAGTGGCTGTCTCTAGAAGGTTTGGGTTTTTTTTTTGTACTTTTTCTGTATTTTCTAGATTTTCTGTATTTTCTTTTTTCTTTTTTTCTTTTTGTCAGTCGTGGGGCTTGAACTCTGGGCTTGGGCGCTATCTCTGTGCTCTTCAGCTCAAGGTGAGCGCTCTGTGGCTTGAGCCACAGCAGAACCTCCCGTTTTCTGGTGGTTTATTGCAGATAAGAGTCTCAGGGAGGGGCTGGGAAGGTGGCTCAGTGGTAGAGCGCTTACCTTGCATGCATGAGGCCCTGGGTTCAATTCTCCAGCACCACATAAGCAAAAAGAAAAGCCAGAAGTGGCGCTGTGGCTCAAGTGGTAGGGCACTAGCCTTGAGCTAAAGAACTGAGGGACAGCACCCAGGCCCAGAGTTCAGGCCGGACTCCCACCTCCCCACCCCCAAAAAAAAAAGAGTCTCAGGGACTTTCTTGCCTGGGCTTTCTTAGAACCATGATCCCCTGAGTAGCTAGGATTTACAGGCATGAGTCACTATCTCCCAGCTTAGAGTTTCTGTATTTTCTTTGAAATTAGCTTACAATGAAGCATGCCTCCCCAAAAACAGTTATAAAGGAAAAGAATAGGAGAGAGAAGCCCGGCATCTGCACAGCACCCCCTACTCTTCCCCCCTTCCCCTCCCCCCCTGTGAGAAGGGGGTGCAGGAGTGAATATGCTTCCTGGGACAGCTAATCCTTTACCACCCTTAAAAGCCAACAGGAATTGGACATGTGTTTTGAATGATAATGAAGAACATGAGACCATCCTGTTCAATTCTGGTCAGATGAGAAAGTCTCCCATGTTGTGGCTCAGCCTCCCAGCTGCTCTTCAGATTCTCAGGTAATGCTCCTTCCTTAGTTGTTCTCTTTTTCTTTTCTTTTTTTGTGCCAGTCCTGGAGCTTGAACTCAGGGTCTGGGCACTGTCCCTGAGCTTTTGCTCGGGGCTAGTACTTTACCACTTGAGCCACAGCACCACTTCTGCCTTTTTCTGTTTATGTGGTACTAAGGAATCAACACAGGGCTTCATGCATGCTAGGCAAGCACTACCGCTAGGCTATATTCCTAGACTCCTCAGTTGTTTTCTAAGTAAAGGCCATGCAGCTCTTTCAGCCAATCACACAGAGGAATGGAGCCTCACCTTTCTCCTTCCTGGGGCAGGCACATTGACAGAGGGGAGGGCGGTCTGCTTGGGTCATCAGCTAAGGTAGCCAAGTAGAAGTGAGCTTCGAATAGCATATCATTAATACTTAGTGCCACTGGCCTAAAGGGACAAAGTCAGTAAAAATGGTATTTATTTTCTGATGGACATTTGAAACACAGTATAAAATGATACATAATTCTGGAGTAAAAAGAAACAAGTAGATGTTTCTGCCTGGTGCTGGTGGGCTCAAGCCTGTAACCTAGCTACTCAGGAGGCTGAGATCTGAGGATCATGGTTAAAAGCCAGCCTGGGCAAGAAAGTCTATGAGACTTTTAACTCCAATTAACCACCAAAAAGCCAGAAGTACAGTTGTGGCACAAGTGTTAGAGCACTAGCTTTGAGCAAAAGAACCCAGGCCCTGAGTTCAAGCCCCAGGGCCAGCAAACACACATAAAAATGTTATCTTGGGCTGGGGAGTATGAATCAAATGGTACATCACCTGCCTGTCAAGTGTGAGGTCCTGACTTAAAACCCCAGCACTAACCCCCCCCCAAAAGTCATCTTCCACAATTTTGAATATTGTTAGTAAAGTTCAGAACATTCGGGAAGGTGGGTCAGTGGTAGAGAGCTTGCCTCACATGCCTGAGGCTCTGGGTTCAATTCCTCAGTACGACATACGCAGAAAAAAGCCAGAAGTGGTGCTGTGGCTCAAGTGGTAGGGCGCTAGCCTTTAGCTGAAGAGCTGAGGGACAGCACCCAGTCCCAAAGTTCAGCCTCCAAAACCGACACATAAAAAGGAAGAAAAAAGAAAAAGCTGGAAGTGGCACTATGGTTCAAGTGGTAGAACACTAGCCTTAAGCAAAGGGAGCTTGGGGGACAGTGCCCAGGCCCCTGAGTTCAAGCCCCAGGACTGGGAAAAGAAAAGAAAAGAAATTACTGCTAGGTACCAGTGGCTTATGCTTGTGATCCTAGCTATTCAGGAGGCTGAGATCTTAGGATTGCTGTTCAAAGCCAGCCCAGGCAGAAGAGTCCTGTGAGACTCTTATCTCTGAGCATCAAAAAAAAAGGAGGGCTGGGAAGATGGCTCAGTGGTAGAGTGCTTGCCTTGCATGCCTGAGGCCCTGGGTTCGATTCCTCAGCACCACATAAGCAAAAAGAAAAAAGCCGGAAGTGGCGCTGTGGCTCCAGTGGTAGAGCGCTAGCCTTGAGCTGAAGAGCTCAGGGACAGCGCCCAGGCCCAGAGTTCAGGCCCCAAGACCGGACACAAAAAAAAAAAAAAAAAAAAAAAGGAAATGGCCAGGTACTGGCGGCTCTCCTCTGTAATTCCAGCTATTCAGGAGGCTGAGATCTGAGGATCACAGTTCAAAGCCAGCCTAGACAGGAAAGTCCATGAGATTCTTATCTCCAATGAACTACTTGGAAAAAGCCTGAAGTGGCGCTGTAGGTCAAGTGGTAGAGTGCTAGTCTTGAGCACAGAGAGGCTCAGGAACTGCCTAGGCCCTGAATTCAAACCCTAGGACCAGGCAAAAAGAAAAAGCAAGAAGCTCAAGTAGTAAAGCCTAACCTTGAGTACAAAGCTCAGGGACAGTACCAACACCTCAGGACTCTAGCACAAAAATGAGTAAGAAACTCCTGCGATGTTTTAAAAATTAATTTTGATCCAAAGGATTGTTACCTATATGAAACAAAGAAAAGAAATAATCAGTTCCTAAGACCTACCTCCCAGGAAAATCAAAATGTATGGTGACAGGACCACGCACAGCTTCACAGAGTGTCAGGAAGCCCTGAAGGAAGAAAATAAGAAAAGTTGAAATTTTTTCCCAAAAATATTACTACCAGGCACTGGTGGTTCATGCTTATAATCCTAGCTACTCAGGAGGCTGAGATCTGAGGATCACTGTTTGAAGCCTTCCCCGGAAGAAATTCCTTGTAGGCCTCTTTTTTTTCCCCCCCCAAATGAACAAATGAATTTATTTATATATTTACACAAACACAGTCGTAGGAGCAGCGGGGACCTTGTAAGACTCTTATCTCCAATTAACCACTCAAAAACTGGAAGTGGAACTATGGCTCATAGTAGGAAAACACAGGCCCTGAGTTCAAGTACCATGACTAACAGGAAAAAAAAATCAGTGAAATTTTAAATTTGAATTTCACACAAATATTTTCCTACCTTCAAATCTTTGAGACAAAACGTTACTTCAGTATCTAGTCCAATCTGAAAGAAGTCAAACTCGTCTCTGTCCACACACATGGAGCTGCGCACGGAACTGTTCATGTCTGTTTAATGTTAGAGGAAAATAAAATTAGTCCTAAAAGTCTTTTTTTTTTTTTGGTTGGTTGTGGGGCTTGAACTCTGAGCTTGGGCGCTGTCCCTGTGCTCTTCAGCTCAAGGTGAATGCTCTACTGCTTGAACCACAGCGCCACTTCTGGTTTTCTAGTGGTTTATTGGAGATAAAGAGTCTCACAGATTTTCCTGCCTGGGCTGGCTTTGAACTGTGATCCTCAGATCTTAGCCTCTTGAGTAGCTAGGATTACAGGCGGGAGCCACTGGCACCCGGCTGTCCTAAAAATCATCATTAAGTTTTAATATAAGAATATAACCACAGTAGCCACAGATTCACTGAGAAGGTAGAGGTCCATGTCTGTGTCCCCTCCCCTTTGCTGTGACAAATAAAATATAGCAGTGCTGGAAGTTTAACATCAGGATTGGAAGCTGGGCTGGGAGGAGGGTGGAGTTGGAGAGCTAAGAAGACAGTGAGTGCTAAGTGCGGTCACGTGGTGTATTTGCACGCATGGACTGCGTGCTGGCCACCCGGTTCTCCTTTCTGCTAAACACAGAGGGCAGCAGAAGATAAGAGACGAACATGACAACTTTTTACATTTTTTTGTTGTTGTTGTTGGTCGTGGGGCCTGAACTCTGGGCCTGGGTGCTGTCCCTCAGCTCTTCAGCTCAAGGCTAGCATCCTACCACTTGAACCACAGCGCCACTTCTGACTTTTTCTGCTTATGTGGTGCAGAGGAATTGAACCCAGGGCCTCATGCATGCAAGACAAGCACTCTACCACTGAGCCACCTTCCTAGCCCAGACATTGCAACCTTAACAAAGTATATTTTCCTTAGTTATCATTTCCTTCATTTAAAAACCTAAAATTCAAAACCAAATATTGAATTACAAATTATGTTACTACTTGTGTTAAAATTCCTGGATCTCTTAGAGCTTTTTCTAATCTTTTCACGTCTTCCTGCTTCTTAGGCAGGAATGATACTACAATACGCTGTGTGCTGGGTGGCTAGCAATGACCCCATCACACCAGGACACACACAGTATCCTTACCTGCGGCTTGCTCATTAGAACTCCTGAGGCAGAACTCCACTGATGTGACAGCGAGGGTGACTTCCTCTAGATTTGATGGGAAAAGAACCACCGTCTCAGCCAGTAATCTGTAAGGTACAGTGAGCTCTGTTAGCATGGTTTGCTGAGCACGGTGATGCAGGCCTGTAATACCAGCACTAGGAAGGCTGAGGTAGGAAGATCCTTTGAAGTCCATTTCTAGAACTGTATGTGGTGGCTATAGCATGGCCTCCCCGACATCCCCACCTCCTCGTATTCATGTCCCATCGCCTCCTCCTTAAGCGAGGGCTGGCTGTAAGGGTTCACTTCAACGTCAGAAGGCTGGAGTGTGAAACAGGTTTGCAGCTGGGAGACTCCTGTTTCCGTTCTCGTCCTCTTGGCTCAGATCATCAGCTGCCATCTGTGAGACACACAGGCACCCCACAGGCGCAGCTCCATTTGGAGCTGGGAAGTGGATTCTGGGACGGCCCCGGGGGAGTGGTCAGGGGAGGCGCGCGGTGCTGGCACTGTCCTCAGCCTCCCGAGACCTTGAGCCAGGAACACACAGCTGAATAAGGATTATTACTAAAGGGCCGTACTTAGCTCTTTCTCCTGTAGTTTTTGTCAGTCATGGGTCTTGAACCCGGGACCTGGGTGCTATCCCTGAGCTGGGTTTTCTCTCAGGGCTAGCATTCTACCACTTGAACCACAGCACCATTCTAGCTTTTTTTTTTTTTTTGGTAGTTACCTGGAGACAGGAGTCTCATAGACTTTGCTGCCTCTGCTGGCTCAGCCTCCTAAGTAGCTAGGATTACAGGTATGAACCACTGGCATCTGGCTAAATGTGAAGTGTGAGGTAGTAATTTACGGTCAAGGTTTTCCTCTGTGGCTAGAAGGGAATATAGAAAGCTGAAAGTGGGATATTTTTAGAGCTTTATTGGCCATTATATTATCACTACCTTTAGGCAGTTATTATCTACTATTATCTTACTCAAGGTTTCCTTAAAGTGATATCTCTAAGCTTTAGGGGCTAGGCATGACAGCACACTCCTGTAAGCCCAGCAACTGGGGAGGAAGGCATTAGTTAGAATTAACCACCAGAAAACTGGAAGTGATGCTGTGGCTCAAGTGGTAGAGCGCTAGCCTTGAGCTGAAGAGCCCAAGGACAGTACCCAGGTCCCAAGAGAGCTTAAGCCCCACTACTGACAAAAAACAAAACACAATAATTTAAAAATAACAAGTTATAACTGATTGAAAAGCTCTAGGGCATTAATTCGTCCCTCTGTAACCACACTATATTCAGAAAAAGGGAAAAAACACTGGAAACTGATTACCTTGGCTGAATCACTAGTATATTAGTACACATGTTCTTTTCGAGAAGAACTTGGATAGGCTGGCTTTCTTCAAAGCGCAGGTTATGGGTTTTTCTAATACCTTAAAAAAATAAAACATCCTTTTAACTATTATAAATGCAAAATAGATTTTAAGTCTTTAAGTTTCACAGCCAAGTTAAAACAATAATTGGAACATATTGTACACATGTGAAAGTGTAACAATGAAATTCTCCTCTGAGCTGGGTGCCAATGGCTCACACCTGTAATCCTAGCTACTTAGGAGGCTGAGATCTGAGGATCTTGGTTCAAAGCTAGCCCAGGCAAGAAAATCCATGAGACTCTTATCTCCAGTTAACCATTGGAAAATCAGAATTGGTGTGTGGTTCAAAGTTGTAGAGTGCTACCCGAGTGAAAAAGCTCAGGAACAGCACACAGACCCAAAGTTCAAACCCCATGACCAACCAGAAAAGATAAAAAAAGAAATCCTCCTCTGTATAAGTAATGTAAGCTAGTTGTTGTTGTTTTAGGCAACTTAAAACAATAAGTAACATTTATTATGTGGCAAAGAACTAGTTTGAAGCAGCACTTTTTAATAAAGTATGCTATCGTCCCCTAGTGGTCACAAGGTGACATGCCATCCAGCTTGACCACACTAAACTGGAATTCCTTTAGATAGGTGGGCTTTGATATTGTAAACCAGTGCCACTCACTACCCAGGCTCCACCACCCTCCAACCATAGTACCTTTTTGTGCAGGACTTTCAGAGTTAGATGCTCACATCTGGCCTGTGAATTTTTTTCCCTTGGTGAGGTACGAAAACATGCTAAGTACCCAAGTACCCCCAAATGCTCCGAACCTGAATGTTTCAGATTTGGGAGTTCTTTGGCATTTGCACAGACCTTACAAGTGGAACACCCCTGATTTGGAAATCACATTTTGTCATCTTTCAGATTTTCAAATTAGGCATGCTCAGTCTACAATGTGTCACAAATTGTAGCATGCATCCTATAATCATTGTGCAGGATGGGGAGAAACTAAGTCTTAGAAGCTAAAACCACAGTGAGACATAGTGACTGTTCAAGACTAACAGTGTGTGATTTTGCTGTTATATGAAGGAGAAATATGTTAAATCATTGGAAGGAGAAATATGTTAAATCATTGATATTTATAGGCAAAAATCAGGATAAAAATTCATACTGAGATAATGTTCTTTTTTTTTTTTTTGGGGGGGGGTCTGGTCATGGGGCTGTCCCTCAGCTCTTCAGCTCAAGACTAGCGCTCTACCACTTGAGCCACAGCGCCACTTCCGGCTTTTTTCTTTTTGCTTATGTGGTGCTGAG